ATTTGAAAATATCAAGTCTCCAGACGGAGCATAATCTTTCCCTTTGGATCCCCAACGAGTACTCATGTTTTCATTTTAACTTGATTACAAAAGCATCAAAATCCCTGATAAAAAATAGGAAACGGTTATTATAAAAGACGCACAATATCATGGAAAAAACTGCATAGCACTTTCTTATGAGAAGTACGAAATTGAGCACTCAAATTCTACACAAAACGCAGACAAACAGAGAGAAGAATATCGTTTGATATTTAAAAAAACTCAGCAACAGAATTAGATTTTTATACGGAGGAAAAATAAGCCACCTTACAAATGACCCAGTCATTCACAGATACAAGGCCCGAGCGAATGCTGGACTGAACTCTAACTCTGCTAACACCATTAAGACTGAATTCTTCGAATATCACTGTTCGTTTCCCAAAAAGAGCAAGTTTAGGAAATCAGCTTCAAACACATGACTTCAAAATTTTGAAAATGAAATTTTCTAGAAAATATGGTGTTACAATTTCTGTTTTAAGAAAGTAAATAAATAAATCAAACATAATTAAGTAACTTATCTACTAAAAAAATAAGTACATTCATACCTACTATCAGTAGAGAATGAAAAAAATATACATCCTAAGGCAAGATATCATTTTGACATTGCAAAAAATTATTCAAGAAATGTAAAATTGAACTGGTAAAACTAACTTCTGTAAAAACAAAAAAGAACATATCAACCGTAGATTGAACGATTTTAAATTTAAAAGAAGACAAAAAAAAAAAAAACACTCATACTAAACACACAAACTTCACTAAATTGACCATGTCCAAACTTCAAGTTGTGTTTACCAGAGCTTTCAGTCATTGAATTAGTTCAAGGTAACTAAAACGCTAAATTTTCCAAAAAATTTAGCAACTCGTGACTAACTTCAAATTTTTAAAAGCACAATGTCTGATTGGAGGTGGAAAATATACTAAATTTAAAATAAAAATCCACAAAACTACGTGAATTGAAACTTCAACATTTCTTCAAAAGCTCGACTTTCTTTCTTATATCAATTGAATCATAGAACTTAATTCCAAAACCAAATAAGTTCATCCAATCTAATTTGTTCTCAAAACCCAACCAACAGAGGCCAAAAGAACGTATTGACTATAGATTCAAGAAATTTAAATTTAAAAAAAAAACTAAAAAACAAAAAATATAAACACACAAACTTAGACCCCTAAAAATACAACACATATCTTCCAAAATTTCCAACCTGAAAATTTAACAAGGTACATAACTACGATTTGTGTTCCAAGTGAAGTAAAAAAGTTACAAAACTTTAGAACATGAACAAGACAACAATTTTAATAGAAAAGCTAAGTACAAATTATAGAAGAAATTCAGATTTTATAGAAAAAAAAAAAAGGCTAAAAAAACATACCTTTTAACCAACCCATAAACTTCACAACACGATACCCGAAAAATTAACAAGAACCGACCACATACAAAGTAAGGAACGGAAAACACAAATTATGAAAAGCAGGTTGCATAAACTAACTAAAATGCAATAGAATGAAATAGAAAAATCAAATGAAAAAGATGAACAAACTTACTTTTAATACAACGTTATTCCGCAAATCTATGGAAGAAAGAGAAGAGCATGAAAAGACGATTTTCTAGGTTCTTTCTGTTCAAGAATGGAGATTTTAAAGGAATTTGTTTTGTGCACGAAAAGGTAGAGATAGTAAATACATATGGTTTCTTTTTTGTGCACTTATCGTCAACCAATATTTTCTACCGCAATTATGGGCCTGAATATCATGGTTGTGTAATCATATCATTTAAAAGGAATTTGTTTCTTCCAAATCTATCCTCCAAATCAACACAATACCTTTCTCCATTTTCTCACGCTATCAACTATCAACTATATCCTATAATTTTATTAGTAGTAATATTTTTTAAAATAATATTTTTGTCAAACTCTAGCTTTTTTCTTAATTGGTGAAGCAGAAATGACGACGTTTTCTATTTCGCTTGCAGCTTACATGCTTTAAATCTGACACGGAGTACTCTTTCTCTATTTTCTCAAGGTATCAATTATCGACCATATCCTAAAATTTTATTAGTAATAATATTTTTTAAATAATTTTTTACATAAAATTTATTCTTTATTTCTAAATATAAAATGTAAAAAGTTACTTATAATATAACTAAAAAAATCACTTCAAATTATTTAAAAGTAAAAGAAATTTATAATTGTAAAAGCTATTTATAAGTAAAAAAATATTAACGTAAATTTTTTTAAGAATAAATATTTAAATATATTTAGTTTTTTAAATGTTAATTGGCACAAAACGTCCCTACCTTTCATTTTTTGACATTTTTTGTCCCTATTTTCACCTTTCTTGACGCTGAACATCATTTTCACTAATTTTAGATAATTTTACCCTCCATTCAAATAAAACAAAAGGAAAGGAAAGGAAACAACAAATAACTAATTGCAACCACAATCCCAAATTTTTAGAAAATTACATATGGTGTCCAGTTTATGTTTCTTCTTCTTCAAGTGTATGAAGAACACCATTTGACTCCAAATTTTGGCTCTAAAATTGAACAATTACCCAGTCCTTTTAGGGCATGAATTTGAGTTTCCCCAGGTTGATTCATACGTTAGGACGTGTTAGACTCACGAATTGATGGAGAATTACCCTCTTCGCGCGGCTGCACATTCCGCGAGGTCAAATCCAAAATTGTTGCATTTGGCTGATGAATTGAAGCAATTAAATTCATATCCAGCATCGTTTGACCTTTAATTGCATGCTGATTGATGCAATTTGTAGATTGGAGTCATAGAGGGATGCCAATTGAAAGGGGATCGGTCGCGAGTTCGCAGACTCAAAAATTGGTTGTAGATCTCGATTTTCTGGGTTGTTTGCAGTAATTAGAACATTTATAGATGCGTCTTAGTAAGTTTGAGCAACCTATGGGTTGTATGAAACATGTGCATCCATTGATTTGGTTGAATTTGCAATAATACCGTGCGTGGGAGACGATTTTTGGGCAAAATTTGGCTCGATTTTGCTGGGATTTGGGGCTGGAATTTGTATGGGGATGTTAAAGTTGATGAGGTGATGGTGGTGGTGTTAAAATCCGATGGCCTTGGTGCCAGAAATTGGGTTCTATGGTTTTTGGCACCTATGTTGAAAATTTTGCATATATTTGCGACTGATTTGTAATTTTTTAAAAATTGAGACTGTGGTTGCAATTAGTTATTTGTTATTTCCTTTCTTTTCTTTTTGTTTTATTTGAATGGAGGGTAAAATTGTCTAAAATTGGTAAAAAAGACGTTCAACGCCAAGAAATGTGGAAATATGGGCAAAAATATCAAAAAATGAAAGGTATAGAGATTTTCCACAATAGACATGAAAGGTAGGAACGTTTTATGCCAATTACCATTTTTTAAATTAAATATTAATAAAAAGATTACATTATCTAGAATGTAAAAAGTTACTTATATAAGTAAAAAAAACATTTTAAGTTATTTAAAAGTAATGAAAAAAACTCATAATCGTAAAAGCTACTCATAGGTAAAAAAATATATATTAATCATTCATTCTCTTATAATTACAAAAGCTACTTATAAGTTAAAAAATATTAACTTAAAATTTTTTAAGTATAAATATTTAGATATATTTAATTTTTTAAATTAAATATTAATAAAAAAATTACATTATCTAGGATGTAAAAAGTTATTTATAAGTAAAAAAATCACTTCAAATTATTTAAAAGTAATAAAAAACATAAATTCTAAAAGCTACAATATTTTTTTTAATTTTATTTATAGTAATTTTTATCAATATTTAATTTAAAAAATTAAATACATCTAAATATTTTCTTAAAAATGTTAAAGTTAATATTTTTTTATCAATTAGTATCTTTTAATATAAGAGGGATAAATAGGAATTTTTGCACGTTTTTCCATATTGTCCTCTTCAAAGAGGATTATCTGTCACTTGGAGAATAATGCAATGATTAACTCCTAAAATAACACAAAACATAAGTCAATTATAATGTAATTTAAATTCAAAATTAAAATTATGATTCGATTTATTGATTCTTTTCCTTGTAAAGTGCGAAATAATTTGCTGAACTTAAGATTTGTTATTATTCAACCCTCGAAAGTGTAAGATGCTCTTTATTGTTGGCTTTTTTTTTTCTTTTTTTTTTTATATCAGTAAATGTGAAATTCTATTGATCAATAATCATATACAAATACACTAGACATACCAGAGCAAACAACATTTAAGTGAATATTACAAGTACTCTGAATGTACTCAGATAGACAAAATGAAAGATGTACAAATGATAATAGTTATGGATCCAATGCTAAAGTCACAAAAAAAACATGACTTTGTATATGTATGTTTTAATTCGTCTGACAATTCAATCAACTTGTGGTCCAAGGTTCTCAAAAATCCTCCTATTCTAGCAAGAGCAATTCTCTTGACAATGGATAGCAAATACTTTCATGTGAACGTTGGGCTTTGCATTCTGTTCTTATCCATACACACCAACATGCACTAAGTTTCTTGGTGAGAATTGAGGTTGAGTTAAAATTAAGCCAGCCTTTATCTATGGATAGTTATTTTGAAGTTATCTCGACCAATATAGACCAATCATTCAAGCTCGCCCCGGCAGCTGAGACGGCATTCTTTAGTGCACATCTTGAAACCCAGCATGGATCCATGACTGCAGCAGCAATTAGATCCCCCTATCGGCCTATCCTCACTTTGGTCATCGAACTTTGTGCACCTCTCCCTGCTAAATTAACGAAAATGTTGACCTTGTAACGGTGATGATGGGAGTGGAGAGAGGAGAGCACCTAACTTGCAGAGAAGAGTTTAAACCAGTTTTATTTATATCAAAATTTGAACCATTCTTTCTATGATAAATTCATATCTATTGCTGAATCTCAATTGTATCAGAGGACAGTACTATTCGGCACAAGTTCCTTGACTTGAACAGACTATTGAAGGATTATGAAAATATTGTAATTTCAAATTTATGATCTCGCAAAATACTTGGAAAAATTATTCTTAATTCAGATAAGCTTTCCACAAGAACTTGAAAAAGAAAGAAACGTGCTGAAGCAGAAAATATTCCAGGATCAAACAAAGAGAAGAAAAAGGAAAAAAAAAAAAACATAATTTTGTACTGTTCATCATCATCACCAACTAGAAAACAAGTCCTCCCCACAGAAGTGTTTCTTCATTGAAATTGTGAGCCGTCTCCCTCAGTGCTTAGCATCTTCTTCCTCACAGAACTTTGAGTACTGGTCAGAGTCCATTAAGGATTTCCCTTCTTCAGAATTGCCCATCTCCACCTTTATGATCCATCCATTTTCATATGGGCTTGCATTAATCTGATGAAGATATTGCTTGCTCAGTAAAAAGTGTAATTAATAAGAGAAATAAGAGGATTAGAATCTAAGTAGCAGCATAATTACAGGAAGATCCGAAGAAGACAAAGAAACAGAAGTGTAACGCATCTTGGGTATGACTCTTTGCTTTCTTATTCTTATTCTAATGCCTAGTTCTCTCACTTTCAACAAATCATCGAATTACTTGACCATGAACTATGGAAACATCATTCTTTGGTATCAAAACATGAGCAAGTTGGTCTCTACATTTATGTACATTATCGTATGTATCATAGCCAAGTCAAAATCTCAGGGTTACAGTTTCGGCAAAGAAATTAGGGTACCATGAACATATGACAGAAGGGAGAATAACAAGAAATTGATACTATATATTTTCCAGTAGCCAGAGCAAGCAGAGATATCACTAATGAGTGAATTTGTATGTTAAGAGAACTTTACAATCAGCCCAAGTAGTAATTTCGTGTTATGTTACTGAGTTAAATTTGATTAAATAGACGAATTTACCTAAAATAACCAATAAGAAAACAACTACATCATCAGCAAGCAAAATGACATAATCGGTTCATTGATCAGTATTATCTTACAAGACATCCAGAAAGGTACGTTTTTCTTCTTTTCTTCAAATATTCAAAAGTTAACTAACCAGAATATTCTAAAACAAACTACTTCTAAACTCCCCTGCCCAGTGAAGTTGCAAATTATCAACATTTTAACTTTTCGAGAAATCCCAATTGTTCACAAAGAATATAAAATAAAATTAAAACAAAGAATTTCCATGCTTAGATAAGTGCACGTCAGTGACATTTTTGGCTTCAGTTGACACCGAAAAAGAATGAAACACATCAACATCTAAATCACAAGCCAAAATCCCACTACAAGGCACCATGACATGCCTGAGACATTTGAATAGGTTAGTATCTGCCACTTGACGGCATATCAAGGCATATAAAATAAGCATACTATCATATGAATGCACCGGCATCATTCAGATATGACTGAGGCCCATGAAAACGTGGCTTAAGATCTACCAGCTTGAGGATAATCTAAATTAATGTCACAGAACAGAGCAATAACATAACAAAGAGATTACCAATAAAGAAGGTACAATCACATTAAAACTATGCAAATAATGGACAATATATCGTGGACTCACCAAACCAGGAGAATTATTAAGTTCTTCATTAACTTCAACAACTTTCCCTGAAATTGGAGAGTTGATGTCACTAGTTGCTTTGACACTTTCCACAGCACCAAAACTTCCACCTTGTGTTACGGCAGTTCCCACTTCAGGCAGTTCAACATACACAACATCACCCAAGTGATCTTGAGCATGATCGGTTATTCCCACCGTAGCAGAACTACCGTCAACTTTCACCCATTCGTGAGTGTCTGCATACTTGAAATCCTTGATGACTGCAATCAGGGGAAAATACTTTGGTAAGATTGTCTCTTGGTGGAGAAGGTCATAAAATATTGCTTGGTTAGACATTAAAGCTATAACAAAATGTCAACATCATACTTTTCTTTTAGCGTTGTGAGAAACCTTTAGGTTCAAAGTCCATGATAAAGCAAATCAGGTTCTTATCAATGGAAAAACTGGTTAAGAGGGCATTATCAATATGATTTATATCAGATCAGATGGTCTAGATTAATACCACAACAATAGCGGAATAGAGTTTATCAACGTCGTATGGTTAAAAGGAAAAAATTCAGCAAATGGAATTTATAAGAAAAAGACCAATTAATTGATCACAAAATAGAAAATATTTTGGAAGTCTATTCATTACTGAATCAAAAAGATAATTTTCAAAAATACTATTAATATGATCTTCTATCATAAAAATCTATTAATTCTGAGCCCAAAAATCTACATATCAAATGCAAAACATAATAAAAAATGAATAATCAAAATATTCGCAACAAGCTAGCTTATTTTTCCAAGTGAATAGTTCTTGAGTGGCAATTAATGGAAAATTCAATGCAAAAAGATATCAAGTTCATATGCATTCAACTACTTGGGATTCAAAAATTACGGCCTCCCCCATATTTCCAATGACATGTGATTCAAAAAAATTTCAATATAGTCCACTATGTTAAAATTTGGGTGTGACCCGAATTTTTGATGAAGATAATTGAGAGTTCTAATTAAATTGCATATTAAGAAGAATTCTATTTGGAATGCTTTTGAAATCCTATTCGAAGCCTATTGGCGAATTCTAGTTGAAGCTCTATTTGGAAGTCTTATTGAGAGATGAAATTTGTATTGGACTTAAAGCGATCAACATAAGGAAACTTTTGGTCATTCTATTTCATCTACAACTCTAGTTCAAAAGCTTGGATTGTCACTATATATATTTGACTCTTCTTCTAGTTTACGTATTGCTAAAATTGTATTTTTTCTCAATTGGTTGTAAATGATAAAATTACTAGTTCATCTACAAATCTTTCTTATATCGTGCCATACTTGCCTCTCCTTTTTTTCCCAACAAATAGTATCAGAGCTATTGATTGTGATTTTGTTTGAGATTTTCTATTATAAATGACAACCATGAAGTATTAAATTTCGTTTTTGGATCGTAATACAAGATTTTCATTGTGGCAAGTGAAAATGCGAGCTCTTTTGGTCCAAATAGATTTAGATGATGCATTGTAAGGATTTGACAAGATGCTCACAACTTGGACAAAGATGAGAAGCAACGAAATGATCCAAAGGTATTTTTATGAATTCATCTTCATCTATGTAACAACACTATTCATGCTATTTTGAAGAAGAAGACAGCAGCTACATTATGGTTTAAGTTGGAGCAATTATGCATGGCAAAAAGTCTGACAAGCAAGTTGCATATGAAGCAAAGGCTGTATTTTGACCATGTTTTATACACATTCTTTCCAAAAAAAAATATTCTTAAACAATAATTTGAGATCATTTCAACCACACAATATTCAATAAAATAATATTACACGTAAATCCAAAAAGTTTTCCTTAATTTTAACCACACATTTCCCCACCAATACATTATTTAAAAATACATTTTTATAGAAATAATGTGGCTCAAACAAGGGATCTATTGTGCTCACTGCTTGCTTCGTTTTCGTCGTTAAGGAATACGATTTTGTACAGTTATGACACACTCACCATTGAAGACGTGTATGATACCTTGTTCTTAAATAAGAAGATGTAGTATCTGATTGGGGCTTGGTCCAGATGTGAAGAAACTCTTGTGGTTCATGGTGATCGATGAAGGGGTAAGTCGATGGTGAATTTCAGCAATGAAGTTTTTTTCTATTGTAAGAGGAAATGACACATCAAGAGGGATTGAGAGAAGTCGCAAAATAAAAGTAATTCATTTGCAAGTCATGGGAGGCAATCAGATATTTTGGACGAGACCAACGTAGCTGATGACTATTTGAGTGGCGGAGATGTGTTGACTATTTCTGACATAAAATCCAAGACTGATGAGGAATGAATTTTGGATACAGCTTGTGTGTTCCATATGTGTCCCAATCGGGATTTGTTTAAAGCATATGAAATAGTAACACAACGTGTCATTGTCATGGGAAACAACAAACCTTGTCAGGTGGCTAGTATTGGCAGGGTTAGATTGAAGTTGTTGGATGGAACAATTATAACACTTGGCCAGGTTTGACATGTTCCAGATTTGAAGAAAAATCTCATCTCATTAAGTACCCTTGATTTGAAGGGTTATGAGCTCTTTGAAGGAGGTGGAGTCTTGATGGTCCGGAAGGGTATCCGTGTGGTACTGAAAGGGCGAAAGAAGTCTCAATTGTACATCTTGCAAGGTCGTGCAGAATCAGTGAAGAATCATCAGTATAGGTTTAGTATCATGGTGGATACACAGTTTGGTACTGTAACTTTGAAAGTTGGCTCTGAGTCATTATTGAAGAACACTACTCCGTTGAGTTTGGAGGATATGGATAATTTCTCTTTGTGACCATTATCTGCGATACCATCGTGTTCAATTGCTAGGGAAGGACCCATTGAGGATAGGTACGGAGATGCTGATCTGGTTGCTTATGCCTTTTGTGGCTTTGAAAGTGTCGAAACAAGCAAGGGGCCTTCAATTAAAGAATTTGGAATTGATTCTGCTACAGGGTGTGCTTCGACTCTGTTTGATAGATCTCGAATTCCTTGTGGAAATTTTGGGAACCCGTGTTTGAGTTTAAGTATCATTTGTGGATATTGTTGTAAATGAAGAGTAATTTTTCGTGAAGTTGAGAAGTTTGATTCTGGTTGAAGAATTCAATCTATTTCGCTGTTATTTTTCCAAGTGAAGAAATTTAGAAGTTTCGTTCATTGAATCAAAATTTGTATCAAGGTGAAAATTGTTAAAATTTAGGTATGACCTGCATTTTTGATAAAGATAATTGACAACTCTAATTAAAGTGCATATTAAGAAGAATTCTATTTGAAATGCTTTTGAAATTTTATTCGAAATCTATTGGCAAATTCAAGTTAAAATTCTATTTAAAAACCCTATTGGGAGTTGAAATTTGTGTTGGACTTAAAGAGATCAAGGTAAGAAAACTTTTGGATATTCTATTTCATCTACAACTCTGCTTTTAGGACTTGAATTGCCCCTATATATATTTGACTCTTCTTCCAGTTTATGTATTGCTAAAATTGTATTTTTTTCTCCATTAATTGTCAATAACAAAATTACTCGATTCATCTGCCAATCTTTCTTCTTGTTTTTAATCTTATTTTTCCTTGTGCGATTAATACTTCGTATCGTGCCATATTTGACTCCCCGTTTTTCTTCCAACACACTACACTTCAATGCAGCATTTTACTGGGTTTTAGAATATATCAAGCACAGAAAACTGATTTATGATTATTATATAGATGCAACGAATGGAACCAAAATAATGAATGTCAAGTTGACAATATGGCTACAGCACACTCGCCGGTCCCGGCCAGCCAAGAATAGTCTCGTATTTCAAGAATCCAACAAAACACACTCATATTATACACCCCATCAATATATATACACCATAAGCATAAGAAAGTCCAATTACAAAAACATCAATGATCTTTTATTCAAAGTCCAATTACAAAAACATCAATGATCTTTTATTCATTCATTGATCCGGTGAACCCACGTTATATAAATCAGATCTTTATTGAAAAGAGCCCCAGATCACGCAGTTTTCATACAGGAAGTACATGAACGAGATTCATTAAACCGGAAAGGCAAATCAAGAAAACCATATATCCGCAACAGAGAAATAAATGGAAAAACGGTGCGTACCAGTGGCAAAGCCTCTGTGAAAAAGAGAGATCCTGAAGTATGAAGCAGCCCTTGATGCCCACAATTTTGAGGCCATGTTTTACAGAAAGGAACCAAAACTCACCGTTTGCACTCTGATGCAGTGGCCCGCACTCACAGAAAACACTATTTTTGCTCCGAAATAAAAGTTAGGCTTTGCGGTTTTTACTAGCTTAATAGGGCCAAAATTTTATTTTTCTCTTTTTGGGAAAGGGGGTTGGTAGGGTAAAAGTAAAATAGAAGTAGACAACTCTATAAAATGAAACTTGTATACCCAAGAATTTCTGAAATATCATGTAAGCCCATCCAAATTTATGGTTTGAAACTATTTACACATGGGTTGTTTTTAAGTAAGCTCGTTAAAACTTCAAATGCCATACGAAATGGTACATGTGACACAATGATAACATGATTTGAAACTAATAAAAGTTAAAATCAACATCAAAGGTAAATAAATTGAAAATTCCTGTCGATAATAAAATTTCTGCAATATGGTAGGCATATAGGTAAACATTATAAAACTAGGTGCCAATAGTTCACCTAAAAATTACAGGGTAGGTATGGGAGATCATTGAACTAGAAGGAGGTAAATAATTATTTCATCAAACAAAATAATGAAGTGGTGGGTTGGTATGTCAACAAACCAATACGATAAAAGTTGGTGAGTGAAGCAATTTTATATTGGAGTATTTTCCTTTTCTAAAGCTACCAATATAACTTTTAAGAAGAGTAATAATATTTGTAGTCGCTCATTATAATAATTGTCCTAGATGACTTGCATGGGGTGGTTATTAATTTAATAATTAATGTGATAGTTTTTTATTAACTTATAAATCAAATTACTAATCGTCATATATGTGCCACGTAGGACGATTACGGTAGTCAACAATTGTAAATAGCATTATTCTTTAAAAATATAACATATATTTCTAACTTTAGAGGACTCTACACTTCTAAACAGCCCATCGATTTGTAAATTTGCAAATATATATTGTTAGGTATTTTTTACATTAAGAAGGATAAATTTCAACTGCGGTCATTAAACTCTCAACAAAATCGCAGTTGGACTACTAAAACTTTAATTTATCTCAGTCACTACCACATTGAAATTGGGTCATCAAACTTTAATTGATTTCAAATTTCACCACTTCATCACATACAGTCTCCCAAGTTAATAAAAATTCCTCAATTGACAATCATACCGCAATTCGTTATCCATGTAATGGATGCGTGGAATGTCAATGTACCACTATGCCATGTCACAAAAGTGTTAAAATAAAAACATGAATATTATTTTCCAAAGGCATTTTTACCATATTCATGTATAGTGTGTCACGTAATTACGTGAAAGATTATAGCTGTCAATTAAGCAATTTTTGTCATTTCAGAAGGTGATAGGAAAAAGAACATGAAAGAGGGCGGAACTTGAAATTGAATTTAAATTTAGCAATTAAATTGATACAAATTAAAATTTAGTGACTCTGTTGATATTTCACTAAAGGTTCAAAAAATTTCATTTTCTTTTTACGAGTACAAGCCAACGACGTGACGCCCACCAACCATTTGCATCCTGCTCAACGAACTACAGAGAACAGAAAGATTCCCACCAACCACCCCCATTTGAAAAAATCTATTATGGCTTGTTTTCTAACATGGATTAGGCGGCATTAAAGATGAGAACAGAGTTATAATTTTGTTTATTGAACTGTTCTCACATTAAACGTTGTCTCAAACATAAATATAGGATAACAAACGCAGAAAAAGAATCGCTCGTCGTAATTTACCTTGGAAGCTAATACTTAGCCTTCTCTGATGGAATTGGATGAACTAACATTCTTAGGCCAACAGCATAACCAAATGACCAAAAAAAAATAATAATAATAATAAAATAAAATCTTTTTGAACGTATAAAATCAATATTATGAATCGAGGCATGTTTTGTACACACTACTTCACAATATAATTTGAATATCAAAACATAACTTAGAACCAACAGTGAATTATGATAAGTCGATTTGAAAAAATCTAAGGAGAGTCTGAAGCTGCTCTGTCAATTGTTATAGGCATATCCATAAGTTTCAAGCCCTGCTTCCCGCAACTGTTCCAAGAATTCTTCTGCTTTTTCATACAGGCCATCTCTTGCAAATGCAATCACTATAGCCGGTGAAAGTACAAATGTCAGGTTTATATTTTTGTTTCTCATTTCACTGAACGCCTATAGTGCCATTTAGGCTTTGCCATCCTGTACATTGAGAGAGAGACGGTTCAATGAGACAGTGAACTTCTAAAGATTTAAAACCATAAAAACGACTTGAGTATTCTGAATGATAGCATCTTGGGCAGAATATTCATTTTTTCATCACTACATGGAGGCATCAACATTTAGTGGCCATACAGACGGGTACATTTTCATGGTCTATGCCCTAATGTAATCTCTTTACTTTGAAAAGCCTTGGATGTGTATTCTGAAATCAGGAAAAGCGATAACAGTTTTCTTTCTGTACTTTGTGTCATATTCTTAGATTTACTGTACTTTGGTTCGATTAATACTGTAACAGACTACTAACAGTACAAATTCAGATGGTTTACTTATGTACAGACACAAAGTCAAGCTAGAGATAGAATCAAGAAAAAAAGACAAGTTTCAATACTTGGAAGTGGACAAGAATTGCATCTTTTATGGAGAGACAGAAGAGACTGTACAACACTAATTTTTTTCTTGTCCTATTTTAGAAACTCAGTTTAGGGGCAGATTCACAGTTGGCTAGCCATCACAGGTAATATGTCTGCTTTGTCAAGTTCATTGAAATGGATGAAGGAAGCTCGGGGAATGACTTGGCAAAGCAAGGTCAAGAATTTCTTTAGCTACTACAGTTTATCACATATGGATGGTGCGGAATAGGAGGATTTTTGAGGACCTTAAATCACAAGTTGATTGTATTGTTAGATGGATTAAAACATACGTATACAAAGTCATGTTTTCTTTGTATCTGCATGTTTTAATCCATTTTGAGTATCATGCATTGGGTCTATAGCTATTATCGTCTGTACGTCTTTCATTTTGTTTGCTCGGGTATATCCGGAATACTTGTAATCTTCACTTGAATGTTGTTTTCCCGAGTATACCTGGATTACTTATATATGATTTTTGATCAATAAAATTTCACATTTACAGATAAAAAAAAAAAAGAAAAAAATGTATTTAGGATGTCAAATATGAAATCGAAAAAAAGGCTTTATCTACACTTTCAATGAAGTGTTAATGGTTTTATGTCGAAACTCAGAAATCAAGAGATCGGTGGTGAAAGATCATTTAGCTATGCAAATTTGAAAGTATTCCTGTTGCCAGCACCAACAAGATCCAACAAATATTACTTCAAGACCTATTAGAGAAGCCAGTTGTGCAATGTTCATAAAAAATGCTCGAGCATGTAGAATTGACACTCAAATACCCATTCATACCTATCGTAATCCTTCTAGGGGAAATAATGAGGAGATAGATAAGAGGAAAATCAAATCCGTGTGAATTCTGTATCAGTATGATTAGACCCCATTGTTTATTGTGACGAAGTTGAACGGCTATGCTGATTAGGTCATCTCAAGTGGTATTAGTGGGAGGAAAAAATGTATTTTAGAATAGTAAATTGATGTAAAATGTGTGATTGAAAAATAAGAAAAAAATTTGATTTACGTGTAATATTATTTTCATAAAGAATGTGTGGTTGAAAAGAGTAAAGAAAAAATGCTTTTTGAAGAAAATGGCTACCAAACGGGGCCTAAAGAAGACAAAATTCAATTTACACCCACTTCCCTCTTTGCATAGTTTAGAATCTGCTTGGCAATGGGACTCAGCACGGGAAAATTCCATCAACAAACTCATATCCGCATTTCCATCCTTGACCTCTGAAAGAACCCCCTGTATCAAAATCAAGATTTAGGCATTGGCGCCCCCCGGTGCACATCTCAACTGGCAAATGACGGAGTTCTTCAAGGCGGGCAATTCAGAGGTCGCGGGTTCAATTCATGAGACTCTTGGAAGGCAAGGTTTACTCTTGGAAGATATGATATTTCCTGGAAGGCAGGAGTTCCTTAGAAGGTAAGGTGCATACATGGATTTGACTCGCTCGGCACTTTGGCAGTTCAATTGGGGAGCTCTTGGACCTTGACCAGTTTGGGGCACAACTCGCGATTCACCTAGTCTACGTGAAGAGGGGCTGGATCGTAGATTTTAGGATTAGTCACTGTAAGGTGGACACCTGGGTAAAAAAAAAACTCGATTTAGGCATTTGCATGAGAAAACATAGGGTGTGTAGAATATACATATCGATTAGACATTGTGTTACCCCTTTTTCTTGGTTATTATTATTATTATTATGAAAATTAAGGTGAGCTTGTAATGTCGATTTTACTTTAATTTATCTTATAAATAGAGAGTCGTCATTAAAATTTTATTATCATCATAAAAAAGAGAGGAAGGGTTAGAGAAGATAGATTGTGCAATTTTTTCACGTAAACTTCTTTTAATCATATCATGTAGCGATAAAAGATGTTGTAGTATGTGAACCCCGACAAATTTGATGTGTCTTTGTTCCTTCTTGTAATTGATCGCTCACTAGGAATAGAATTAAGATTTCTAATTCCCAACGATTAAATTGATCTGATTATTGATTCGGCAAAGCACCAAATTAATTACTCACAATGATTCTTGATTAATTTAATTGATACATCGTTTTATGGTCGAAAAACTAACACAAAACAACTTTTTTTTCCTTTTTAAAAAGGCGCTTTTATAATTTTTATTGATAATGTGGATTCTTATTTGAAAATTTATTTATTAATTGAAGCATTGCAAATTCTCCAATTTTCGCCGATTAAAGTGGTTTACCCTGTCTTTTGGTAAAATTTTGATGATTCATTTCTTTTTTTAATAGAAATAAATATTTAAATACTTTTAAATATTGTAATTTTAAATAAAGCTACAAATATTTATATAGTTGTTGACAATATCGTAGCAAGAAGTGTGACAACCTAATAGAAATTAGGGATGACAAATTGCACTCTCATTCCATCCCCATTTCTGCCTAAAGGCAGGGCGAGGCGGTAGGAAGACGGGGTAAATCCCGTACATTTATATTTATTTCTTACTTATAAATTCTAAGAAATATTTGAATATTTAAATTATTT